TTATTTTTTGTTGTTGATATTTACTTCATTTACATAAACCCCAGAAAAATTAGGAAAAATTGTCATTTTTTGGGGATTTGAGATAGCTAAATGAAAATTTGTTTATTTACTACAAATAAATCGCGTTGATAGAAACAAACTTTTCAATTTAAATAGTTTTTTGCTTCTCTTGCAAAATTTTAAAAATAATAGATAGGCCGTTTGCGTTTTAGGTGACGACATATTCTTAAATATGAAAATGATTTTATCATTCCTTTTTTTTATATAAATCAAATTAATAAAATATTAGGAATTATCCATTAACCCTCCAAACAAAAGCTTTTTAATTAATATTTATTTTTTGTCAAAATTTCTAATGCGGTTATAACTAAATAACTTTCACTTGTCAACTAAATTTATAAAAAAACTCTCTTAGACTTAAAACATTTTCCAACTAGTAGTTATCCAAAGATATTTGAGTAAATTAATAAGAACGTGTATCGAAGTAAATTGATTTGAAACTTAAGATGAATTAAGTACCAACAGAGATTTTTCTAAGAAACTAAGGAAGAAGTAAGAAGACGAAAGTACCTTTAGTTTTTCTTCATTATCATTAGTTATTGGTGATTAACGTGACCAGATATCCCGCCAAAAGCGGGATTATCCCGCTTTTTAAAGATTGATCCCGACTTTTTAATAAAAATTTCGCTTTTTTACATAACAGGTCAATCATCCTTATTTTATTGTAATTAATTTGGGATTTTTTAATACGTCAAAATTTTGAGATAAAGAGGTTTTAATTCAGCACGATCCTTCAGTAGTACTTGTAAAATATTTGAAAATGAGTACCGATTTTAAGATGCACCTTTTTTTATCCTAACAATGAACGCAGAAGACAAAATAATAATATAAAATTTAGGACTTGGTGAAATTTTTACCAGTTTTTTTACCAGATTTTTAGGAATGTTATACCAAGTTTTTTTATAAAATAAATAAATTTCAATATAATTATGACATTTTATTCCAGAATTACAAACTTATGGATCTGTTCTCTTTAATATTTTTCCCACATCTATTCATCAAGATTTATTAAAAGTTTTTCAACGAAATGTTCAATATTTTTGTGACATGAAAAACCATTGTTTGTGTTTGTAACACTAACAAAATATTTTATATAAAAATAACTACAACTTCAAATCTAAATTTTTTCTTCCATAAAAGATTATATTCGGAAAATCACCCAGATGTTCATATTAATATCGATATACATACATATGTATGTAAGACAAGGTTTTGATTGTCGGTATATAAGATTCGTCTTAGTCGAATATAAGACTTTTACTTGTTTTGATATTAAGTTTTACAAAATACAGATTTAATGTATGTCAATTTTCAAAATCCTGCTTTTTTAAAATATTTTCTTCCAAATCCCGCTCGGATCCCGCTTTCTTCAAAAAGCATCTGGTCACGTTAGTGATGATAGATTATATTAAGTTCACACGAGCAGTTGAATTACTTAATTCGGCCTCTGAATGACAATAGCTAATTAACCCGTTCTACGACACATTCGTAATTCGTTTTGACAGTTCATCGCATGTTGTTTTTTTCATTCTTTATTTTGTTAATTTTTTGGAATATTGTGTGTGTGTGAGTAATACACACTGTGTATGATACAAAAATACGTTTGTTACATTATTTTAACAAATTAAGTAATATATTTTCTGTCTTATTCATAAAGATTTATCAAAGGTTTGTAGAAAAATTTCGTATGAAAATTTGAATTATAAAACTTTGATAAAAGTTTATGAATAAGAACCTTTCTATTTATTTGCTTTTTTGTATGTAATTGGGCGTTGAATGTTGAATGAAAGCGTGAATGTCGAATAATTGCATCATGTGAACGGGGTATTAGACTATTAAACATCACATACCTGAGTTGGAAAGTATTAAATTGATTATCGTCATTATGTTTTATTATTTGTAAGTAATCTCAGGAAAAACTTACATTGAAAATAAATTAGTTAAAAACTAATAAAACCTCTTTCCATTACTTATTCTTTGGCATTTTAACTCATGATTATAACACAGTGATGTTATTGGATACAAGCACTTACCACACTCGCTTATAAATAGGGAGATAAAGAATTACTTTACACTATCGTTTACAAAGAAGTTATTGAGTAAGTTGTTTTGATTTTTACTAATAAAAGGTGCCAGCGGAAATACGAACCAGGGTCTTCGGTTTGTTAGCCAAATGTTCTATGTTGAGCGTCAAATAATGGTTTTTACATTCAAGGTTTTTGCTGGGATGTTCTTGCTTCTGTTCTAGTCTATCAAGTGTTTTTACAATTCAAACTTATAAAAAATGTAATGATTTATTATAAATTTGTATAATATTAATAACATCTTAAAATTAATATAATAATAACACTTTTTCCCAATTTCATATAATTACAGATAGAAGATGCTATGCTTATGTTTGATAAGCAAACAAATCGACACAGAGGTGAGTCAAGTTACTAATATTGTAAAATAAAATAGTTATACATTTGTATATTCGGCGAAACCTGAATTTTGGCATACTATTGATATATCCTCCCCATTTTAACATGAGCTTGTCTTACGAGAAAGTCAATTGGCACTCTATAGCCTAAAAAGAGACAGTCAAAAGTAGTCAAGGAATGGCATTGTCCAAATGCATTCTAAGGAGTTAGTCATATTACTAGCTACTTTACTAGTTATTGACGTGTCCTAGGAGAGAGTCAAGTGTCCACAAGTAGCTAGTCTAATGGACACTTATTGCAGTAGGGTTAAATAGCCGGTCAGTCGAAGTTTAACTCTAAAAAATTTAGAAAAGTAAGAAAAGATCTTTTAAACAAAATTACTTTTATTGCTAGTTTAAATAAATATGTTTAATATTTCTGATCATTTGTATATTCAGTAAAATCCGACTTTTGAACTTTGGAATTTATTATTACAGATATGTATGTATACGACTCTGAAAGAATAGAATTTGTTACATTAAGGAAAGATTAATTTTTAGCCGTAATCTCAGCTAAACTTTTTTGACTTAACTCATCTTTAGTAAATTCACTCTTCCGAATTGTGATATTTTATATTTCAAATTGTAAAGTGCTGAATTGTGAATGAGATAATTTTATTTAATTTTATTTTACTTAAAATTAATTTTTCGCGATAACTCTTTTGAACAATACAGTAGTTTCCGTTTAATTGTTCAGAATAAATGCAATAAACAAATCCCATATAAGATATTCAATAAAATTTTCGTTTAAATGAGTTGGTTTAATTGCGCTACCCTCTTAATTGGATTATAAATTACCCAGGAAAAACTTTACTTACCCGGTAAGCAAGTAATATTGGAACAATGTGGAAGTAGTTACTTTTGGGTGAATATCTAATTAGTTTTGTTCGAAGAGTTTCAAAAAAATAACTGGTAACAAATGTGCTTACCCGACTTTACCGGGCTTAAACCTGGCTTTACAGTTATTTTTTGTGTTTATTAGTCTTTCCGCTTACCCATTGCTCCATTTGCAAGTTATTTTATAGCACTTTTTGGAATCGTTTTTATATAAAAGTATAAATCGACGTTTTTAAAAAAATACTGATATGAACTATGATTCGAACCACAAACTTTGGATAGATGCTTAAGATAATTTGACTGATGCTCTAGATAATTGGCTACAAATCCCATTCAAAAAAATTAAACAATGTTATTGATAACGACTACTCATTACCAGGTAATGTATTAAAAAACTACATTATATAGATTACTCATTACAAATTAAGAAAACACAACGTTGCCTCTTAAATATTATACGCAAAACTAGATTTGGATGATTCAAGAGATATAAATATCATTTTCCCTGGATGTCAAAATAGGAAAAAAGGAATATTACACAGTGCAACATTCATTTTCACACATAAAAAATCTATATGTAAAAGAAACTGCGGACCATTGTATTAACTATCTGTACTAAGTTTTTCATAATTAGCTTAGAGAAAATTTGTCAAAAAAAGTAGTTAAAAATTTTTGTTTGTTTTAAGTTAAATTTCTTTTAAGATTTATAATCTAAGTAAGTTAAATAAATAATATAGATAGAATTCACAGTTTCCCACCTTTCATTTGATACCAATATTTACATCATACAATACATAAAATATTTAAAATATTCGTTTGAAATTGTAAGTCCTTTAAACTTCTCAGTCCTTTTATAGGAAATAAGAGCTGATTATAAAAAACGGATTACGCAGAATTTCTATAAATGGACGCTACAACATAAAAATAAGAGAACAATGAGAGGATCGCCAGAGAGCGAAATAAAAATAGAATAGAATCTATCTCAATCACAACACGATATTTCTAAAACCTTTATATTTAAAGAATTTAAAATTTTGCAAATAATTTCAAATTTTGCATTAATATGCAAAGTTAAAATAAAGTTTTTCATAGTAATATAAAATATCAATCAATATTATATTTTATGTAATTTAATGGAGTAAAAGAAACCAAATTGTTAAAAAGCAGCAGATTATGTTTTGGTCCAAAATCAACTTTATTTGGTTAAACATGACAGTAAAATTAAACTAATTAGTGTCATAATGAGCAATATCTCGAAAACTATTAGGGCGATTTTTAAAATTTTTACTTATTTGTGTCCAAACTAGTAAGAAAACAAATTAGTAAGAAAACTTGTTTTGCAACAGAAAATTATACAAAGGGATAGAGTTTAAAGCAAAAAAGTAAAATTAAAATAATTAGTGTCATAATGTGCAATATCTCGAAAACTATTAGGTCGATTTTTACAATTTTTACTTATTTGTGTCCAAACTAGTAAGAAAACTTGTTTTGCAACAGAAAATTATACAAAGGGCAATTTTTGGAATGGAAGTTTTGCATTCAGATTTTTTTTTCATTTTTTAAGATAGAAAAAAATTCAAAATGCTATAAAATTGCCAAAAACATTTTTGTCTTTGAAATTTATATCACTGATGCGGGATTGTTTTCTGGATATTTTGCCATCAAAATTTCGTGTTTTGTATTCGCTTCGTAAGCGATATTTACATGTTTTTCTTTTTTCAACTCGCTTGCGAGCGTGTGGAAAACGAGTTGAATTCGAAACAAAAATCAGCATTTGTGTGTTTACAAGAAAAAGGTTTTATGATGGCAATAAAAAACAATTACTACGAAATAATTTGTGTGGTTATGTGGCCGTATATTTTATGACGGTCACAAAAAACGAATTCTGGGAAAGTGTTAAAAAGGAATTTTTTACCTTTTTATGTAAATGTATTTGTTCTTTCATATGTAATACATACAGTGTCTCTCATAAGTGTTCGAATTTAATGTATTATGAAAACAGACATCATTTTATAATAGATTTTGTGGGAAAAATAAATAAATTTATTATGTTGTCCAGACAGTCCTTAAATTTTATACCACATTTTAAAAATTAAAAAAAAAATAATTTACTTAAACTAATTTAACTTTTTTTAAAAAAAGTGCAAAAAATAGCTTCACAAAAGTATTCGAATTTTTTTGTATAAATCATATTTAGATTAGCATTATGAAGTAAAAATAAATAATTAAAATGAAATTAATGTTTTGTATAGTAGCCTTTATTTTTAAAAACAACTTCCAAGAGTCGTGGGACCGTTTCTACCAATTTATGGAATAGTTCTGGCGTTATTATGTCCCATTCTTCATTAAAGCAACCGTATGGTGGTTTTAGAGGATAATGAGTGATTTAAAAATTGTTCTTGTAAATATAACTACAAATTTTCAATGGAGTTTAAGTCCAGACATTAACTCCATTGAAAATTTGATGAAAGAAGATACAACATTTTCACGTACCAGGTCGTGTATTTTGGATCGTTTTTCTGTTGAAAAATAAATTGAATGGGTTGTAGTCCCATTTTGGTGGTACTAGCATGCAAATTCTGCTCTAAAATTGACAAGTGGACCTTCTAGTCTATAATTACAATAATAAATTTTAGCAGTCCAACACCGTGGACGGACACAGAACCTCAAAATATGGCAGAGCAACTTGGGTCCTTTACAGTTCGTTTTAAGTTAGATAATTCCAAGGCATCTCCAAGCTTTCGCTATATCATTTGACGACCATCTGAGCCAAAAATATTATATTTGTTCTAATCGTCGAAGATAACCTCCTTCCAGAATCCAATATTCTTACTTATGAGTCTATTTGCGGAGTCAAGACACTTAACATCGATTAACTTCGATATGAGCGGTTTCCACCTTGGTACTTGACCATGCAAATTATTGTTCCCTAGTACTTTGCGCACAATTTCGACACTAATTTTTATTCACAGGACTGTCCTGAGTTCGTTGTTAATTTTTGGAGCTAATAATGAAGGTTCCTTCGGTATTTCCTCAGTATTTCTCTGTCGCCCTGTATTGACAGCAGTTTTGGACGACTTGATAATGGTAAATACTCGATGGAATTCTTTGTTCCATGCGTCTAATGACAAAATATATTTTCGATGGGAATCTATCAAACATTCCCTATATGTAATATTGATCGGCCTTGATTATACAGATATAAATTAATTTTTTAATTTGAATTGATCAACTCTTTTTCTTTGAACATTTTAAGCGCTTACACAGGAAGGATTTACAACATAATTATGCAAATTTCCAAAAAATATAATGTTAAATATTCCATATAACCACTACCTGCATAATGGGTTAATTAATGGGCAATAAAACACGTGTTCAAGGATTCTAAAAAAGTTCTTAGAAAAAATTCGAATATTTTTGCGTAGTACCTGAAATGACTCTTTTTGGGTTTTTCCCATTTTCTTGGAAACCATTAATGAGTTTTTATTACTTTTTTCTTGTATTTCGTAAAAATATTATAAATTAATAAAAGTTCATTAAAAATTTTTAAATACCATTATTATTTTTAAAGTAGCATCATAAAATAACACAGTAATTCATAAAAAATTCGAATATTTATGTGAGACACTGTATGTACATACATGTATGTACATTGATGGGCATGCAAGTGATCTTTAAAAATGTAGCACTTTCATTCAATTGTTTATTTATTATATTATTGACTAGCTATACCCAGTGTGCTTTGCTACACTAAAAGCAAAAAAACCCACTTACGCATGGGAGATGCCACTCATATTATTGAAAGTTCGCCAATTATTTACTAGCTATACCCAGTGTGCTTTGCTACACTAAAAGCAAAAAAACCCACTTACGCATGGGAGATGCCACTGAAATTATTGAAAGTTCGCCAATTTTTCCGAATTTAATTCATATGGGAGAGGCCAATCCCCCCATTGAAAGTCCGCCAATTTTTCTCTAAATGTTCACATGAATGTCAAAGTTCTTCATGTAAAATTTGAAGATTCTAGCTTCTACAGTATCTCAGATATACAAATTTGTCTATATAATTCATATGGGTGTTCCAAGCCACCCCCTGATGAAAGTCCGCTTTTTTCCCCCAAAATGTC